TGGAATGGCGATGCCACGGCCCTGATGGCTGGTGAGTGGGCTAGGGGGTAGGGGGATGCGGGTCAGTGTGTGGGTAGGTGTAGGGGGACTGGGTGTGGGGGATGCTTAGGAGGGGTGGGTCCCCTGCCCCCCACATAGCACATAGACTACCCTGCCTGCAGGGTCCCAGCCCCCCCATGGGCTACAGCTCCCTTCCAGCCCCCACCACTGGTCTCTAGCCCCCTGCTCATTCCCCTGCTCATCTCCAGCCTCTGGAGGCTGGAGAGAGCAGGAGAACAAGCAGGAGCCTGAAGACAGCAGCGGAAGTCTCCAGTTCATCTCCAGGGCCTTTTCTCCAGCCCCCTGCTCATTCCCCTGCTTGTCTCCAGCCTCCTGCTCATCTCCAGCCTTGGAGGCTGCTGCTACTGCCCGTGAGTGTGTGTGGTGTGTGGGGGGGAGGGGAAAAAATGGGGGGGTAGAAGGGAATGAACGGAGGGACAAGGGGAACGAATGGGGGCTGGGTGGGGCTTCCCCCATGGTCCCCAACCCCCTACTTACCTGGCATGAAGCCAGGTCCAGGCCCTTGCAGCCTGCACTGCTGCCGGCCCCGCATGGGCAGGCAGTGTGTTTCAGCAGTGGGGAAAGGGCCAACCACAGAGATGCTCTGGTTGGCTACCAGAGCATCTCTGTGGAAGACCGAGCCTTTGGTTGCCTCAGGGCATGGTCCGGGATTGTGCCCTGCCCCGCATTTTTACCCCCAGGGTATTGTTTGACCAGGGGTCTAATTTTGCTCCCGCGCTGCAAATTTGCAGTGCGGGCAACATTTTTTTTGTTCCCGCACGTGCCTCTTGCAGTGTCTCAAAGGGGTTTGAGATGCTGTAAGAGGCACGTGCATGCTCGTATGGACATACCCACAGTGTACAATGTAGATGGAAGAAAATAGAAATATATGGGGTAATCAGTCTAATACATGGATGATTCTCTCACTGACTTTGAATAATACCTGCTTTTTAGAGAAGTCTCCTTCAAAAGAAGTGAGACTACTTCAGTACAGTATTACTTATGAACAAGGATGTTTACTTGTTTAGAGGTAAATTGATGCAGTTGGGATAGAGGTGGAAAATAAATTTAAAAAATGAGCAGCTGCACCCAATACAAATAAGTGTGTCACTTTCAGAATGGTATTTAAATACCATTACAAAAGGAAAATTTAAAAAAAATATGCCATTTTTAATTGTGTAGCAGACAGCAATGGTAATAGACCAGGGGTGGGCATGTGGGGCACCTAAAAATTTTAGAAAATTAATATTGATCTGTCCTTGATTCCTGTCAGAAATGACAGAAACCAGGGCCAGTAGGACCCAGGGGAAGCCTGGCAGGCTCCTGCAACAGCAGGGCCTGCCTGGCCCTGCCCCCCCAGCCAGAAGCCCCGGCTGGGGCTTCTGGCCTGGGACCACGTGGCTGCTGCAGCATGGGAACCTCAAGTAAGGGTGGCTAGGGTCCACAGACCCTTGCCAGCCTGCGTCCTACTCTGGGCCCCACAGATGCTGGCCCTGAGACATTAATTCCAAGACATTGGGACATTGGTCCCAAGATGGTGACCAGGGGGTGGGGCACCTGTCAAGGGGTGGGGCTACCCATGTAGCCCTCAACAGCTTGCCAAAAATGGGTAAGCGATCCTCCACCTGAAATAATTGCCCACCCCTGTAATAGACTAAGCATTTTTTTTTAAAGTTTCTTATGTTGCCATTGGCAAACAACCTCTTGAATGAATTTTGATGGAGAAAATAATGTATAGAACCATGGTGTGTATTACTTTTTGAGCCTCATGCACATTTTAAGAACAGTGTTCCTGGTGGGTGCAGGAAAAGAAAAAATCTTTTTCAAACTTTGTTCTGGATTTATGATTAATTTTTAAAATCTTTAAACCTGTTCCTTGATAGCCAGGCAAAATTCATCTGAATATATATGAGCTGTTGTCAAAACATGTCTAGATGTAGTCTTCAGTTCCATGTATGTTAATAAATCAGGTTGGAATTTAATTACAGTAGAGTAATTCCATAATTCCCACAACGTAGCTACAGATAGAAGTGTTATGCACTGTGGATGTAACCTAGATTGTTTTAAACACTTTCCATATATGCTCTATTCAGTGTATAAATGGAAAGACCTTTTTCACTTGTGAATCTGTGGTGGTGAACAGCCCAAGACAACGTTATAAACCTACTGAGGAGCTGTTTCCTAGATTAGATGGGCTCTTGTGCATTTATTTAGGCATGGATTTTACAAATGATTTAGCACACAGTGAAAGGGGTTGTGGTATTTCTCGTGTCATCTTTTCTTTGGTAAAGATGACCCAAGTATCTGCTGTTGCCCACTAAGCTGTTGTGAGTTAGCTTCCACTTACTGCACAGTAAAAGTTTGCACATAAGGTGGTTAACAGATGGTGCATGGTAAAGGCCCACGTACCTTTATCTCCGTAGTATATTGTATGTCCATGTTCTTATACATTTTGGTTCTAGACATTTGGATGAGACCAATCAGTGGTGCAATTTAGAGCTTCACTAGGGTAAAAAAAGGTATGTGTTTTTAAAAACTACCTAATACCCTTGTGTAAACAAGGCCACATTTTTAATGCATCCATTGGTAAAAGTAAACTCTAGTCTTCCCTCAGCTATATTCTTTACACAGCCACAATGTCTATGCATGCTGTGTAAATGCATTGTATTAGAGGGGTGGGGGAGGCTTTTGGCAGACAAATGAACCCTGTACCCTGTCCTAGCACCACTCCAATCCCCTTTTCCCACCCAATCCACTGCTCTGCTTTATGCCACACACAGAGGCTGCCTGTGGCACTTGTGGCATGTGCGCCTCAGGTTGGTCACCCTTGTTATAGAAGAATGTCTTGAGTAGTAAGGATTTGAAAATATAGGAGTAAGTGTTTGGATCTATTAAACTTTTATATAATCTGTTTATATAACCTTATGGAGATACACAGAATCCAAAAGTTGTTGCTGTACTAAACAGTCATTTTTCCTTTCTAAAGAATTACTTGTGTCACCAAGCAAGCATAATATAATGATGAGATTTTGATTTCATTACCAAAAAACCTGGATTTCCAAACTAGCTTCAGCAATAGATCTCAAAAGCTGTTACTGCCTCTCTGCACTTACTAGCTCCAGACACAAAGCTTGGTTGAATATTTTTGTTTAGGACTCTTTTGTTGCTTTTATCAGCTTTTTTTTCAGTAGGGTTTATTATGATTGAATAAAAAATGTTTATTAATGTATATGTGTAATGTATTTCCAAGGCAGGAATTTTGTTGAATTTATTTTTGTTTTTGTTTTTTTGTGGCAGGTTGAACGACATAGAGAACACCTCATAAACTATATAATATTTTTGAGAATAACGCCTTTCCTTCCTAATTGGTTTATCAATATAACATCTCCTGTAATAAATGTACCACTGAAGGTATTCTTCATTGGTACTTTTCTAGGTAAGAATTTTTGTTAATAAGTTCAATTTTTTTAAAGAGGAGGGGACTATTGGTTGGATTTCACATACTTTAGTTCGCTATCTGCTGGACAGTTGAGAGATTACATGACTCTTCTTTCCTGTATGCCAGTGGTTCTCAGCCTTTTCTTTTAAGACTCAAGGCACTCCTCCAAAGCTCTCTGAATTTAATGGCACTCTAGGTAGCTGTGGGGAGAGTGAACTCCTACTTTTTCTTGCATTTGTCTCAATGCAGAAAACTTATGGGGTGTTCCTTGCCCACTGGGAAATGCAGGGGCAAAAGCACTTCTTAGGATCAGCACTTCTGATATTTGTATGCTCACTTTTCTCTTTTTTTATTAAATGTACTGGGAAGTAAAATATATTATTTTTGAGCGTCTATTATTTATTCTGTCCTAGTAATTTACAAGCATAAGTCAGAAAGAAGTATTTGCTAAGGGTCTAGTATTGCAAATTTAGAGTTTCACTCTCTTGTAATATATTACACGGTTCCAAAATTAAATCTCAAGTGTGAGGGTAGCTTGCTGAGCTTTGTCCCTGTGTTTCGCCATATTACAATATATATTGGCATAATGATAATTCTTCAAAAGTTGCTCTATGACTTTTTAGGGACACCAGATCTGAAACTGAAACTTAGTCTATGTTCTTTTTACCATCTCCTTTCTAGGTGGTTGATTGTTTTGTTTGTTTGCTTACAAATAGTCTGCATTATTTGGTTTCATGATTAAATTAAAATAACTAACAAAGCCAAGCTTATCATTAGGAAAAAATGGCTGCACTAAGCTCACTTCATTTTGGTCTAGTCTATGATGCTTACTGTTGGGGGGAGGGGACTTTTTGTATGTCAGCTAAAAAAGTCAAAATAACACACGTGAAGGGAAGAAGACATACTTGTACTCTGCCTGTTCAGATAAAAGTATGAAGTTTGGGTGCTGGGGAGCAGTGGTTTATTATGAATTTGTTAGAATTTACCAGTGTCAAAAGCTAAGACAAAGAGCATTTGCTTGTCTCAAAGAAAATGATGAACTTTTTGATAGTCTGTTTAACTGGTTCTGTTATGTTTCTGTATGTGTAGGTGTTGCACCACCATCTTTTGTAGCAATTAAAGCAGGAACAACATTATACCAGCTTACAACAGCAGGGGAAGCTGTTTCCTGGAACTCTGTGTTTGTTCTCATGATTTTAGCTATTCTCTCAATTCTGCCAGCTATCTTCCAGAAGAAACTTAAACAAAAGTTTGAATAAGAATCACACTGGATCTGACTTTCCCATGCTTCATCTCAGGATCAGCACTTCTGATATTTGTACGCTCACTTTTCTATGGGAGACTTGTAATGGATAAAAATATCCTTACTTTTGTAAATTAGCACATTTTGTTGCCTGAAATTAAAGGAACTATGTTCAGAAATATTCTGTATATAGTTTTGTAGTCCAAATCATCAGTGTTGTACTCTTTTTGGAGACAAGAAGAGGGAACTGAACACCCAGAAGATTGAACTTTTTGCTCTGGTTTATATATGGGGTGGAAAGTTTCAGATGGAAATGTAACCTACAGATGCTGGTTTCTAAACTTGCAAAAAATTTAAATCTAAGCAGTCAGTCTAATTTTGTAGCATTCTCAACGCTGATACAGACTTGCATGTGATGGTCTGGTTGCACTTACTTTTCACACCCACCTCTCCTTTTTATTCTCTTGTCTTTCATGGTTGCAGAATAATGTAATGTAAATAATACTTGCTCATAAAATAAAAGACTTTTCTATAAGAAGTACTTGAAGCTCAAGTGATGTAAACCAGAAGAAGCTGAGATTTTTTCATTCTGTTTCTTTTTTCTTTGTGTTTATTTTTCTTTTTAAATACTTGAACACATCTGCTTTATGAACTGAATTAACACATGGAGGAATGTCAGGTAATTCCCCCTTTTTCTGTAGATTTTATGTGGAGGCAGATCAGAATTTTATTGTAGTTTGCTGATAAATGCTGAAGTTTTTAATTCTTGTTTAGACATATTTTTAATATCTATTTTTGCCAGTATTCCAAATGATAGCCTTATCCTACTGATTTAAAATAATTGCTACATGGTTATAAAGTTATTAAATACTAGAATGAATAAGTGATTATTAGCAGGGATACTGGTTTTCTCTGATTTAAAAAAATCCCCAATTTTTGGTTAAAAAATAACCCCAAATCCACTTTTTTCAGTGATTTAAATGAAACACCACTAATATATAGAGTGATGTTTCATTTTAATAATGGAAAAATATGGATTTGGGGTTACTTTTTTTAACCAAAAATTGGGGATTTTTTAAATTGGAGAAAACCAGGATCCCTGATTATTAGCCACTTGCAATTCTTATGTGTATACTGGTGGAAGACTGAAAAAATCTCGCTCTTTAGTTGGTAGCAGCTTGCCACTATGGCGACTCAATTGGCTAAAAAGTGCATCAGGTATGCAAATTAATACAGAGTTTTTTCTGTTTGTCTACAATATATTGCCATGTATTGATTTATGAATCATGTAATGAAAATAATACATCTTATTGTACTTGAACTTAAAAAAGGATCCTTTTTTTTAATTGGTGATGGGCTAATAACTTGATTCATTTTTTTTCTCAAATCATATCATCCCCTAACTGATATATCTATAAACTACTCTTGAATGTTACCACTGTCACTGACTGTTGCATTGTCATTGGGCCTCTCAGAATATAGGGCCCCTATTCAGTAAGGTACAGTAACATGTGGCTACATATGTAAGTTGTTCCATTTTAAGTCCATGCTTGCTTATATGCTTTGAAGTTGGGCACTGCTCTAGTACATTGCTGACTTAGAGCTTATATGATTTGCAGTGCTCAAGTTTCTGAGGAATTACTTGTCTGCAACTGTGCTGTGTTGTCTCCTCACCAGAAAAATCTTGTCATGCCATGGAGCATTAATGATGTAGGAGCCCAGTTCCATAAATGTGATAAAGTGAAAGGTACTGGTATCTTCAACAGTTCTATTCTTTTGCAACATGATGTGGATTGATTCACTTGTCATTTTATCACAGTATTATGTAAATGCATAGGAAATAAATTAATACACTAATTGTCTCTTCCTCTTTTTAAATTTCATTTGGATTGGACTACACAACAAATAGTGGTTTCTGTGGTGTTTGCTAAAAGTACTATTATTATTATTATTATCATCATCTAACCACTGACCTCTATTTGCAAGTTTTGTTGTAAAGTGTAGTTTTGGGAACTTTGATTGGGGCTTAGCATTCATTTATTCTAAAAAAGGTACTTATTAACACTTAAAACAGATTCTGTGGTCTTGGGCTCACCAGCATAAACAGCGAAGCGGCTCACTGCTGTAATATTAATCTTTAACCTTTTCTACGTGGGGGAATTTACTACAAAAAAAGCCAGGAGCAGTTTTGGTTCCACATTAATTTTTAAGTGGAGGCTCACACTGCACACTGCTTCACACAAAGGTACTTTAAGGGTACGTCTGTAGATGGTGCAAGGCAGCTCTTTTCAGAGCTACTTGACTACGTCTTCCTGTGCTAATTCCAGAACCAGAAGCACAATACCTGCTTTAGTGTAGTGCTTTTAATCGGCCAAGCTGAGAAGTAAAAATGCTTGCCTGAGTCAGTGCTTTACTGTGGCTGTACTGGTTGGAGTTCCAAAATTAGTATGGACAGTGCTATTGTGGGTATTGTCGTGCAGTACAGTCTTAGCCATGTACTGCAGTCTGCATGGTCCAAGAATGCTGATGTCTACCTCGGGCTGTTTCTGCGTGGCACTGCATTGTGTCATGTGGACGTAACACTGTTATGGCATTTGCAAGGATGGTCAGTGTGTAGTATTTTGAGCACTCTGAATTTATATCATAGTGTACCTTTGTTTCCCAGGTTGACAAGCCCACAGTCAGAGATTACAAGGGATTTTGAGCTGTTAAACCTGTTATTTTTTTTGAAATTTTTGTAAACCATATGTACAACACCATTACTAAATGTCTCTTTCATTTCATAATAAAAACATTCAAATTTAAAATTGTCTTATATTAAGAATACCAGACTATCTTGCCACTTTGGAACATAGTTGTATGTGGAACGTTTCTTTTTTCCTCCTCCTTTATTAATTCACAAAGAGGTTAATGTCTTCTAAAATGGCAGTTCTGAGTACCACTTTAACCTTCAGTGCATAAAAAGTGGTTTGATTTCGTTTGCATCTTTACTATTGTAAGAAACCTGTTATTGTTACACAGTTTTCTAACATCTGAGGATTCTTAATATTTGAACAAACAGTACTCCACAATTAGTACTTTAATTGCGATACAAAGACGAATATTGTGTCTGTCTGTTTTGGATCTAATTTCAGCAGATGGGACTTCTTGGCCAGGGACAGCCTTACACATAAACTGGTTTAAGTGATCAGAAACTGATTTAAACCTGTAACAGAACATATGTTCAGTGCATATAAGCCAGTTTCAAAATGGCTGAAACTGGTTTGAGATAAACCTGGTTGAATGTAGTATGAGACTTAACTAATTTGACTGAAACCAGTTTATGCCTTGTCTGTCCTAGATCCCTTGCTGGTTTGAGTTAAATCAGAGACCCGTAGCATCCCTGCATGGCTCTCTGGGCTGGGCATGGCTCTCTGCTGCAGCCCAGCCAAGCTGGCCATGCCCCTCAGCTTCCCAGCCCAAGCAAGGGCAGGCAGGGGTGAAGGTCTGCCCAGAGAGGGTTTTGATTCCCCATTCCCTGTGCCACCAGCAGGGACCAGAGCCGGGTCTGCCTGGCATTCCCCCCTCGGTCCCTGCCCAGAACAGGCTCCCAAGTATCTCCTCTGCCGGACAGCAGAGGAAGGAGGAATGACCCTCTCTGCCTGGCTGTGCCTCCTCCCTGCCGCTGCAGCGGGAGGTGGCAGGGCCCTTATTGGGGGCAGCAGCCCCTTTCTGGTGAGGGACTGTGCTGTGGGGCCGGCAGAGGTGTGGGCGGCTGCTCTCAGCAGCGCCAGGTCCCAAGTGGGCCAGTGGCTGAATGAGGCCCCTCTGACCAGGAGGGAGCTGGCCCTGAGCACAGAGTAGCAGTGACTACAGCCCAGCCCAACAAACCCCGCTGCCATGCAAGCAGCATCTCCCTGCTTGGGGCAAGCCCTTCCCATCCGGAGGAGGCTTATTCAATCGCTGGTCACTCGTGTGGCAGCAGGGTTTGCCCAGCTGGACTGTAGCCGCTGCTGCTGTGTGCTCGGGGCCCACTCCCTCCCAGCTGGCGGGGGCTAATTCAGCTACTGGCCCACTCGGGACCCTGGCACTGCTGCGTGCAACTGGCCACACTTCTGTGGCCCCAGCATAGAGCAGCAGCGGCTGCAGCCCAGCTAGGCAAACCTTGCTCTGGTGCCAGTGGCTGAATAAGCCCCCTTCTGCCAGGATGGGGCTTGCCCCAAGCACAGAACAGCAGCCGGGGCCTGGGTCTGGCCCTGCCCAGCAGTGACCAGCCAGTAACCGTGACAGGCAGCAGCCTGCCATGGGTTCTTGGAGCACAACCCCCTTCCAGGAGGGTTGTGCTGTGGAGCGCTGCAGGGCCTTGCAAGGCTCTGACCCAGTCGGGACCCTGGCATGGCCATGCACAGGCAGCTGTAGCTCTGCTGGCCCCACAGCGCAGCCCTTCACCAGGAAGGGGCTCACGCTTCCGTGCATTATGACAGGGTCTGCTGCCCCCAAAAGGCCCTCCCGCCTCCCAGTGCAGCAGTAGGGAGGAGGCACGGGCAGGCATAGGTGGGTTTATTTCTCCAGCAGAGGGGACAGCCAGGGGCCTATTCTGGCCAGGGAGTGATGGGGGAGTGCTGCACAGATCTGGCTCTGGTCTGTTCTGGTGACATAGGGTGGGGGGACTTAAACCCCTCTCTGGCCAGTTCAGCCTGGGTTGGCCATGTTACCTCCCCCCACCCAGCTTTCCTGCAGCTGAGGGCCGCTCTAGAGCCCCCCCTGGCTCCTGGCCTGAGCAAGTGCAGGCATGTATCTGCATTACCTCAGTGCAGAGAGCATGTTTGTCCTGTTACAAACTGGTTCAGCCTAGTCAGGTTAGATTAACCTGCAGAGGTTGAATCAGTTCAGGTTTGGCTTTCTGAATGTCTGTCCCTAGCCCTTGTGCTGAGCACCTTTTTGGTGGTCCGTTGAAAGATGGAGGTATAAACATCTTAAAGTAACTTGGAGTGATTTGAATGAAGCTTATGGTCTTTGGCCTTAGGACTCCAAAATATTATTCTGAAACAGCAAACTTTATGTTATTAAAAACTCCTAAGTATCATATAAAATGGACTAATACACTAAGCATGCAAGCAAGAAAATTAAAGGCTTTTCCTACAGTTTAAAAATTCAGTAGTTTTATGGACCGATTTAAATTGCTCCCATGAGCACAATATGTTTTGGTTGGTCTGTGAGGTATTTAAACTAGATGTGTATTCATTAAAATATCCAAATGATAAATTTCACCTGAAGAGAGTTTTGACAACTTGAGGCTTCTTGAGGCAGGAGCAAGGGGGCAAGTGGCAGGGGGACAGGCATAGGCACAGTGGGGGCAAGAAACAGGCAGGGGGGCAAGGGGCAGGTATCTGGTCCCTTGCCTCGCTGCTGCTGCTGCTTTCCCTGCCACAATGGTACGTGTGACAAATTTAGGAAAACTGTTTAACAGCTTATAAACGTGGAAAATTCTAATAAATTTATAGTTTTCCATGTATAGCAACTAATTATTGAGGAGACATCTTAAATTCAAAGTCATCTTGGATTCCGGTATATACAATATCCACTTTGCCATGAAGATTCAGGCTGGGAAGTAGCCAGAGTGCTGATAGTCTTCTTTTGCCTTTGCACAACTTTTCTGCTTTCCCAGACAGACAGACAAATTCTTCCACGATTTAGTGAGACAATGAGCTTATGATATAGTTAGCTGAATCACAAAAACCATGGGTTAAGACTCCAGAATCCTAGTATAGTCCTGTTGACAGA